ACAAACAAGCCCTTTTATCCCAGTGGTTAGTGGCTGAGATTCTGACATGGTATCAGAGCGAAGGTCTCGGGTTCGAATCCCGGTGTGTGCACCTCGGGCATCCCAGTGCGGGGGGGTGTCAGAGGTCCACTGGAGATCCCCGATTGATCCTAGGGAAGGGTTACAAGCACGTCGGCCTGGGGGGTTATGGGCGCACTCACCCGCTACACAAACAAGCCCTTTTATCCCAGTGGTTAGTGACTGGGATTCTGACAAAAAGAACATTTTTTTTATATACATGGTTCACAACACTGAGAAAAGTGGGTGAGGGGAAAAATGAATCAGCGGAGGATGTCAAGGTTTGCATTTCCCGACCTTGATCTTGACTTGGTCCGGAATGCACACTCTGGTGGCTTTGACGAGTTTATCGATGCAATCGTACCCGTTGACACGCGTGTAACACCCTTTGATTCCACGGAAGTACTTGACCTGCAGGCCAGTGCAGCGGTCGCCAGTCCCAACCACGTACGCATGAGCCTTGGGGCACACTCCTTGCGTGAAGCTGAACGAGCTGCCTATGCATGCCTGCACTTGCCGTGTGAATTGGGTGTGTGTAGGGAGGGTGGGTGGGGAGAAAGTGGGGGATAGGAGCAAGGCACGTGGGCAGTAATGTAGGAATGTAGGTAGGAAGAAATGTAGATAGGTAGGAAGGTAGGTAGTTAGGTAGGTAGGTAGGTAGGTAGGTAGGTAGGTAGGTAGGTAGGTAGGTAGGTAGGTAGGTAGGTAGGTAGATAGATAGGTAGGCAGATGAGTAGCTGCAAAGAGATGCATGACGTCAGGGAGAAAGAGGGGACGAATGCTAAAGGAGGAGTCTGTGCGTGCATGCTGGGTGAGAGGCAGCAGACAGACAGAGCAACACAGATGGCTCTAGTGGTCTGGAGATATGGAGGGGAGGGATGGAATCGAGACCCAAGCAATAGTCAGGCAAGGCAGCCAATGGATGCTGTTAAGTTACACCGATGGAAGCAGCATGCCTAGGTGTGATGCTACGTGGAAATCAACGTGCATGCTAGGATCTGGTACGGCTGCGAAAATTAGAGGCAGGAGGATAGGGGCACGGAGGAGGGTGGAACTGGTGTGGGTTGGAAAGGGTAAAGAAGGTGAGAGAGTGGATGGAGGAAGATGATGGGGAAGGGAAAGAGAGGGCGATGGAGGTAAGAGGGTGGTGTAGGGAAAGGGTGCGAAGAGGAGAGCAGAGACCTCGAAGCCTGTGAGGCTGGCGACGTCCGTCTTGGGCACGAGGCGGCTGCACTTGATGCCGGGGTTGAGGCGGAAGAAGTCAATTGGGGAGAGCGGCGGGGAGGGCACGGAGCGGATCTGGTCGCACGTCCCCCGGCCTGCACCAGATAGAACTGCGAGCACACCGGGATGAGCAGCGCCGCTGCGCTCTCCGCCCGCCGCTCCACACACACCGCCTGGCTGGGCGGAAGCACCCCGTTGCTGTCACCAAAGCAGTCCAGCCCGGGGTTGAGCGCCTGGAAGGCTGCTGCGCAGGTGGAATCTTGGGAGGGACAGCCAGTGGAGAGAGAAAAGTAGGCTGCCAGTGGCTCACACGTATCGCCCTGGTGGGTAAATGGTGGAGGGGAGGACGAGTGGACGAAGGAGGGGAGGGAACAACCAATGGGTAAGAGCGAAACATGGGCGAGGGGAAGAGAAGAACATGGGAGTGAGGGCTGGGAGTTGGCAGGGAGTCCGATGGAGAAGGAACAAGTGTGAATAAGGGGGGCATTGCGGATGTGAGGACGGTTTGGTGGATAGTAAGGCCCTGGAGTGGTGCAACTGCATTGTGAGGCCCTGGAGGAGTTCTGGAGATTGGGGTTCTGGTGGGAGATAGCAGTTGAAGGGCGGAGCGAGCGCTGAGGGATAGAGAGAGGGATGAGGCAGGGAGGAAGGGCAGAGGGAGGGAGGAAGGAATTGAGAGAGGGAGGTCGGAAGAGAGGGCGTGAGTGAGGTAAGGAGTGAGGGTGGGTGCGAGGGAGTGAGGGTGGGAGTGAGGGAGGAAGGGAGGAGAGAGGGGGAGAGTGAGCAAGGACTGAGAGTGGGAGTGAGTGGAGGAAGGGGGGAGGTCGACCTGGGACGTGGTGTAGTAGACGGAGCAGGGCGTGAGGTCGGTTGGCTGGACCACATTCACCTCCGTGCCGACAACGAGAGGAGCACTGCAGCTCAGATCCTGGTGGGAAGGGGGAGGGGAGTGGGGAGGAGAGGAGTAGGGGAAGGGGATGGGAGAAGGGGTAGGGTTTACATGCTGTAGTTGGTGGGCAGGGTCTAGAAGTGCATAGTGTGAACAAAGTGTGAGTAGGGATAAAGTAGTACCAGCTTCTGGTCAATAAGCGTAAAAAAAACAAGGGCTCTGGTCTTTGAATGAGCCTCACGGTATGTGAAAACGACTCACGGGGTTCAGGGCTTGGAGCTGGGCGAGAGTGAGGCCGTAGACGGGGTGGATGTCGGCACATGTGAGCCCCTCCAACACCACCGTGTAGATGTTGCTGGAGTTACCTGTGCATTGCGGTGCAGTGCGGCGCAGAGTGGTGCAGATGGATGTGGACCATGGAATGGGTGCGGTCGAGGTTGTGAAAAGAATTTTGAAGTGACTAGGGAGTGAAGGGAACGATGTGGGGTTGTAGAGACAGCACAGCAATGTGTGATATGGTTATTACCGTAAGCGTGATGGTAGCATAGCAAGTGCACAAAAGGCCACACATGGTGTTCGCATTACCATGAATAAGAACCGTGGCAAGTCAATCTCATGAAAGTTACCTGGACCACAGGAGAAGGTGCCATCAACGGTGATGCCCTGCCTGAAGCCCGGAGGGCACACACACGAGTACGACCCCTTGCCATCATTCACACACGTGCCCACCGCACACGGATTGTGTACCGCTGCCCTGCATGCATCCTCTGGGGCGAATACGAGAGACACATGCAAGAAATGTGCTGAAGAACGAGACCTGGCAGATTAAAAACTTGTGCCGTGGTGCTGATAGCACCATAGCAGCAAAGTGACTAGTGCGCCGACTTTTCAGGCGCATTCAAAATGACCGGATGGAGACAGGATAGAGCACTCACTGTAAGCACAGGAGAGGGAGAGAGCGCTCACTTTAAGCACAGGACAGAGCGCCAATGTAAGCAGGAGGCTGTAAGATCAGGAGAGGGAGAGAGCGCTCACTGTAAGCACATGTGCGCGAGTTGTCGGGTCGAAGCGCCTTGACGAATCGCGGGTCGTTGCAGTCGCATCGGTTGCTGGCCCCATCAGGCGTGGGCGTGCACGTGAAGTTGCCACAGGGGTTGAAACACCCCACTGCTCGTGCAGTTGACGCTGCAGGGGTCCTTGGCAGCACGCACCACTGGGTCTCTCCCAGGCAGGGTGTTGATCCCACACACGCCGTCGCCCCCCTGGATGTCCATCCGCATGTGCCCGCCGTCGCCCCACTCCGGGCCCCATGAGTTGCGGATGATCCAGAAGGGCGGCGCCATGTGCGGGAAGGTCGGGTCTGAGCCGGTGAGGCGATAGCCCACCAGCAACACCACGTGGTTCAGGTTGTACGTGAAGCACTCTGGATCCGCGTACTTGGATAGCTGGGGTGGGGAGTGGGTTGAGGAAATATTGGGACGCATGGGTATAGAAGTATTTGATGCTTGTGTGTGTGGGTGCGTGCACGTGTGTGTGGATGCGTGTGTGTGTGTGTAAGTGTGTAAGTGTGTGTGTGTGTGTGCGTGTAAGTGTTTGCGTGTGCGTGTATGAGTAATTGAGTAGGCTCACTCCATCATAGTTAAGGAAGGAGGGGGCGGTGGTCTGCACATGCACCACCACGGGCTGTCGCTGCACGGCCAGCAGCAGCCCAAACCAGCCGTGGAACGCCGTGCGCTCAAACCCGTCCACTCTGAACGGACCCCCCGATGGCTTGCTCTGCCGTGGGGGCATGGGAGTAGTGATTGGGGAGGAGTTGTAGGGAAGGAGGGGTATGTGAGAGTGGTATGGCAGCAGGGATGTGGGAGGTGGGGTAGGGAAGAATGTTAGAAACACGCTGTCAACACATTTGTCAACACTTTATTTGTAGGTTGGATGTAGATTTGTTATCCCAAGTTGGGTTTTCCACCGTAATCCAACAAATCTGCCAACTCATCCTTGGAGTTTTGCTTTGATTCCCATCCCATCCTTTCCCTTGCTTTGCCCATCCCAACCTTTGTTGTATTTAACGGCCCAGTGTCTTCTTTCTTAATCAACGTATTCAGGCCGAGTTTTGATAGAGGAGGGGTAAAGGAGGACGGGTACGTGTGAAGGAGTATGTGTTGTGTCAATACACTATGGTGGCATAGTCATCGCACTCCCATTCGGCCTAAAAGTCTGTTCAGCCATTAAAAACTTGTAGAAATTGCTTTGTATCAACGTTTTAGAGCCATTGCAGCAGTATGCAGCGGATGATAACAATATTAATAGCAAGACTTCTGGCATTTGGGAAACATGTGTTGCACAATTTCACGTATCACCCGGATTCACCATTTTGGCTGCTAATTTATTTAATGATCTCTGATTGGTCTCAAATTTTAGGGGGAGTTTTTTGCCGCGTTGTGCAGGTGGGGTGATCACAGAGTTTCACAGCAGCCCATCATCGTTGCAGCATGTGATAGCTCTCAAAAAACACTGTTTCATGGTCATGTTGCGCTGTTAGCAACAGTTATGCTGCCACCTTTACATTGTTGTTGCTCCGAAAGGTGCACGGTCTAAGAGTGTGATAAGAGGTGCATGTGGCCAAGACAAACTCTCCCATCCTCTTCTTTGAAGTGTGGACTTTGTTGAAGGAGTTTGCCAAACAATGGAAGTAGAAAGATGAGCTGACTCATGGTTGGTTTCACTCATAATTGTTCGCCTTGAGTACAACACCAAAACTCCAATTTCCTGTAATAGATAGGATGCTATGGTACTCTGAAGTACCTAAATAAAAATAGTAGAAACGACGAAGTTAAGAAATTTTACATACCGATCCGGGGGTTCGGCCTTTGCCACAGGCAATCCCAAGTGCTTGCAGAAGCAGAGCAAAGACGGGCATGCCACAGAATGGGCTCTGGCTGTGCTTCTTGCCCCGCTTCCCTCTCACCACCACCTCAGCCCCATCCTCCATGAGCCCCACTTTGCTCTTGGCGTTGAGAGTGACGAGGTACTGGAAGGCCTGGGAGGGCGAGTTGCCCTGCGAGCATGAGGCGCCGAGGGCGTCACGCAGCTGGGAGACGGAGAGGAGCGGCACGGCGGAGAGGTTGAAGAGAATGCTGTAGGCCATTTCCACGCTGCCCACCACCGCGTACGCCCAGCAGTCGCCTGGGAGGGGGGAGGCACGTAGTGGAAAGAGGAGAGAGGTTGAAGAGGTGAGAAATTGAAGTGAGCTTTTGTGCTGCACATAATTGCATATGCCCAGTCGTAAACTGGGATGGGCAAAGGGGGATGGGGCAGGAGGGGAGATGGAGGAGGGAGGTAGAAAGGGAGCAGGATGATGAGAGCGGTAGGAGAGGACAAGCCATAGCAGCCCTCCCATACCCTCTCCCCTCCAAGCTCAAAAAAAGTTATCCAATAACATCTTATCCGATCTCATCCCATCCCATCTCATCCCACCCCACTCATCCCATCCCATCCCATCATATCCCATCCCACCCCATCCCATCTCATCCCATCCCATCCCATCCCATCCTTTCTCATCCCATCCCATCCCATGGCCTCCCCTCCCTCCCTCCCCCCTCCAATGCCCGTGCCCTCACCGCAGGCGCCCTGGTTCTGGATAGGCCACGGCAGCCCCTGATCGGCCTTGTAGAACGCCTGGCTCACAACCCACACCTCCTCATCGCCCCCTCCGCCTCCCCCTCCCCCTCCTCCTCCTGCGGGCTGCACTGCCTGCATGCCCACACTTGCATAGCGGAAAAACAGGTTCGCCCCCACTGGTGATAGCAATGCCTCGCTGAAACAGAAACCAAATTGCTGGCCTGGAGGAAGGGAAAGGGGGGCAGGGGGGGGGGGGAGAGGGAAGGGGAAGGTGAGGTAGTGTAGGAGAGGGTAGGGTGGGGTGGGGTAGGGAATAGTAGGATTGGGGCGGGGGGGGGGGGGAGGGGGGGGGGTAAATTAGAGTAAAAGAATGCTGGATATTTTTCATATGCTGGAAAGAAGCCCATGAATAAAGAGGTAGTGGGTGTAGGAGGTACAAGTAACAACCCTACACCTAAGTATGCCTTGGCTCATTCAAGCCTATGTTAACAGATTCCCTTCCCTTTTCACTACTCATCCAGTAAGAGTGGTTGATTCTGGTAGACCTGAAAAGAGAGAGAGACAAGCAGAGAGAGAGAGAGAGACACCACCAAGTGTGAAGGGGAACAGATTGAGCACGTGGCATCAGGGAGCAGAAGAGAACAGCAAGAAGCAGGAGCGAGCAGAAGAGCGTGGCTGGGAGCTTCAGGAAGGGAGCCTCTGGGAGCATGGGGTAGCAGCAGCACAGACCTGTGGTGATGTTCCAGGTGAGGATGGAGTGTTGCTGAGGGGAGTCGGAGGAGGAAGCAGAGAAGCCCATGAGGAACGACGTCTTGGCTGCACTGGGCTGCAGGAACTCGCACAGCGACACCTACATCACCAGCACTGCCTTGCTTGGCCGGAGGGGCGCCTTGGCTGAGAGAAACACTTGCAGCAACCCCGTACCAATGCTGCTGCTGCTGCTGTCATAGCCATCACCGGCAGTAGCACTAGAGGAGGAAGGAGAGGGGTCGAAGACGATCCAGGCGTGCTTTGGGTTGCTGTCGTTGAGAGTGAAGGGCGCTTTGATAGTTGCGATGGAAGAGGTGTTGCCCCTCACACTCACTCCCACGTGGCTCTTGTCTGGGTCGTTGGCATCGATGCTTCTGGCGGTATCAAACTCCACAGCTATGCTGCGCTTATCCATGCCTGCATATCCCAAGCTGCCGCCACCACCAGTGCCGTTGCTGCTACCACTGCTACCGCCCGTAGCAGAGCTACTGACGGAAGTCACAAACGCAAACCCATCCCCCGCATCTCCTGCAGCTGTGGCTGCTGCCCTGCTGGCGGTGGCTGGTTTGAGAATGGAGAAGGAGAAATAGACGGTGAAGGCCAAGGGGCGGCCGCAGGCACCGGCCTTGAGGGCGAAGGAGAAGAGTGGGATGGGGAGTTTGTAAAACGCTGAACCCCATGTGTTGGGCTGTGAGGAAATGAGTGTGATGCGACCTGTGCTTGCCACTGCCGCCCTTCCCTTCACTAGTGTCTGTGCTGCTGTTGGCTGCACGGTCACTGGACCACCCCCTTGACCTGGTGTTGGGAGTGAGGGAAAAGGCATGCAGCAAAGAGAGGAGAGGGGAAGGCACAGGCAGGCAGGGAAGGGGCAAAAAGGAATGGAGCAGATAAGATGGTGGTAAAAATGCAGGGTCTTGAGAGCTATGCGGCACTTCTTACTGTTGTGGGCCGCACTGCCATTGGGAAACCCTTCTGGCTTTGCAATGGGGAAAGGGAGCTCGGAACGGGCAGTTTAGGTGCCAATGCAGAAACTGGGGAAGGTACAAACAATTCAGAAGGTAAAGACGATCTGCTGGAAACAATCTTTGCAAGCAAGAAGACCCCACAAACATGTCACCCCTTTCCCACAGCACAGCAAACACACAACAACCCACACCACCCTCACTCTCCTGCTTCCCCATCTCCCCTTCCTGCACTCACTTCCGTTAGGGATGCAGCTTCCAAGAAGCTCCCCGTTGACAAACCCGGGGTTGCAGGCACATGTGGGCACTCTGTTGGGCCCATCCGCATAGCACGAGCCGTGCCCGCCACACGGGGGATCGGACGCACTCACGCCGCAAAACACATCACAGAGCACTTCTGGCCGCTGCACTGCTGCGTCTGCAGCAGAAGGCGTGGCAGGTGTGGGGCAGGAGTATCCTGGGGTGAGTGTTCTGAGGCAGTTGAAGCGGAAGGAGATGGAGCGTTCTGAGCAGTTGGGTGGGGAGGAAAATCCTGAGAGGTAGTTGTTGTCGAGATCGTAGACGGTGAGGTTTGCCGGGATGGGCTGCAGTATGGGGCCTGTCAGCTGGTTGTTGCGCAGGTTACTGCGAGGGGGATGTGGTCAAGGGGGGTGAAGGGGAGGGGAAGGAGTGGGTGAGAGGAGACGAGAAGTCGAAAATGGTTACTGGTCCGTTGGGGGTGGGGGGGGAGGGGGGAGGGCAGTGAATGCGAAAATGGGGAAAAGAGAAGGGGAGGTGAAGCAGGAAGGAGAGGTGTGGGGAGGGGAGGGAAGAAGATGGATGTGGACAAAAGTGAAGCCAGTTTTCGGAATAGAGGGGGATGTGCAGCGCCGAGCAATTTCATTTTCTTACTAGCATTTCCATAACGGCTCAGGGTAATACATGAGGTACCAACTTCGAGAAGTCTCAAAGTTAAACAGAAGGAGAGAATTGGCTGTTGAGACAGAGCAGGGGGCAGCATGCAATTACGAGATTTCAGGAAAATTGATAAGGTTATTTTAACAAGGTTGGAGGCAAGACACATAGATTAGCTGGCATTTGGGGAGCAGGGGTGGGAGAGAGGGGGAGGGGGGATGTGGAGAAGAGTGGATGGGTTGATGTGGGGCAGGCGCACAGGAGAGTGAGGCGGACAAGGCCGGTGAGCTGAGTGGGGATGGTCCCATGCAGAAGGTTGTTGCTCAGGTCACTGGAGGGAGAAAAAGAGTGAGGAGAGCCGTTTGAAAGATTCAAAAAAAGAGATTGGATGTTTGAGAAGATGGAATATTGGGGAGGGATGAAATGAGATGGGACAATTGTTGGAGAGTGCAGGCAGCATCGAGACATCTCAAAACTCAATGTGGTAAGGATATGACAGACAAACACAATGGCAGGTAAATGGAGAAATGGTAAAAAAAAATGGAAAAAGAGCCTCATTACAGCATTTCTGTAAGTGGTTGCCATGAGGAACTAAGAGGGGACTCGTGAGCAATAGGTAGGAAGTAGCAGCAGCAGTGGTTAAAAAAAACTATATTATATAAAATGGATACAAGGACTAGTGTCCGGAAAAGAACAACCTTCTCCCTCATCGAATCCTGGTTAGTGCACAATCAAGAGTGACGTACGCATGTCGTTGATTGGAAGGGGACATAGAGGAGATGGGATCATGGAGCTTTAAATACATGGGTGAGATATAAGGACGGTTAATAGTACATGACATGACCATAAGAGCAAGGAAAAAAAAGAAGGTGGTGAACTCTGGATGCCCAAGAAAGAGCTATGGAAGGTCTACATGAAACGTCCGGTTTAAATTAATGATTGGTGCGGAGGACTAGTGTAAGCACGAGGTGGAATGGACTGATTGGGTAGTGGAGCTTAGAACTCCTTAAGCACGACAAGAATGAGTGATAAAAGAAGTGAAGGATGTGAGGGATGTGATGTGATGGATGTGAGGGATGTGATGTAATGGATGTGAGGGATGTGATGTGAGGGATGTGATGTGATGGATGTGATGGATGCGAGGGATGCGAAGGAAATCAGGGACAGTCCTCAATGGGATTGCCTGAAATCTGCAGCTAGTGAGTTGGAGTGTTGAGTCAAATGATCACACTTGCATAAGGTTGGGATTGAGTCTAGTCTCTCCAACCCACAAATACAACACGTGCACTAAACTTGGACAGGGAACTAGTACAACAAGTACAAACAGTTGTGAGATTGTGGTTTATAGGCATGAGCAACCTGCCCACTCGGGCAGGGCCGGCCCGACCCTGCCTAGGATTTTGCTGGGTTTGGGTCAGGCATTTCATTGGACTGGCCCGGCTGGGTCGAATCAGGTTGACGCGGCCGAAAACCCGACCCGATATTGGAAATTGGGTCGGGCCAGGTCAGGAAAAACCACTGGTTTATCTCTAACGACCATAAGGTTGTGGTAAGGGGGGGCTCCAGTAGAGGAGGGGGACTGATGGATTGGAGGGGTCTGATGGGTGGGAGGGGGACTGACAGATGGGAGAGAGAAGTGGCAAGACTAAGGATGGTGGGCAGTGGAAACTCAGATCCCTGCACGTGCAAAGGAGGGGATTGTAACGAGGATACACATTCATCTTGGCCAATTGTGGCAGAAACTCGTTTGGATTTTATGAACATAGAATTGCTTCATTGAGTTTGATTCTCTCCGTGCACCAATGCCTGTGTGATGGCAAAGTGGTTGGGGGCAAGGGCAAGTGATACTCATTTGGTGGATAAGAGGAATCTGCACCCTTGCTTCAAGGTTAAGGGGCAAGAGCATGCTATGTTAGAGAAATTCTATGGTTTCACACATTTTGTACTCGTACTTCCTGTATCCTGGTGTCCCGTTGTTACACACCATCCCCAACCCATTCTCGTCAGTCTTTTTAGGAAATTGCTTTTAATTTCCTTTCCATTCTTTCCAGCCCATATTTACTGTACTTGATTGCTTTGAGTTTCACAGAATATCATGTTTCCATTTCTTAAAAAATGCTGTTAAAGACTATGCATAGCGAATCCCTTTTCTTTCTAAGGCATAATATGCAGAAAACGGGAATGCCAGAATGGTCCAGATCACAAAGGGATGTTTGAAAGGATGCGCATTATATACATTCATGCTAAGATTCAAGGTGTAGCGTGCTGCTTCCATGCGTGCGTGCGTGTATACTCGCTTGCTTATGCGAGCGTTGCTTGCTTCCCACACTCACAGTTTCGTAAGTTCCGTCAGCTGAGTGAGGTTGGATGAAAGGTCGCCAGATAACTTGTTGGATCCGAGAACTCTGGTTGGGTTTGGGGCAGCGCTGAAGGAGGAGTCCTGATGAGACTGTTTCGTGCGGCTCTGACTGGGGCTGACTGGTGTTTATGGTGGTGATATTAAGTGGGGTAACGCGAGTGTGCAGATGGCAAGTGTCATAATGTGATGCCAGAAATGATGTGCAACGAATCAGGACGAGAGGAAAGCAGATTCCACATATGCAGATAGTTCGTGATAGGAAGGAAGGACCGTGTTGAAAGGTGAGTGAGGTGCCACTGCTGCGGTGATAGAAACTGACTGGCGCTATGAGGAATGTTGGCCTGCAGCTAAGTGGCGTCGCATGAAATAGACGGCATGGCATGGTATGGTATGGTATCGCAAGGCATAGGCATGGCACGGCATGGCACGTGCATAGGAATGAATGCCTCACAAGTTTTGCAAACGTTTGAGTTGAAACATGGAAGCAGGAATGGAGCCATCGAGAGAGTTGCCCGACAAATCACTGCAGGGAGGGAGGGAGGGAGGAAGGGAAGGAGGGAGAAACCATACCAGAGACAACAGGGACAATAGCAGAATGAAGAGGCCTAAAACAACCGAATCAATGAAAACTGGGCAAGAGAGGAAGAAGGGGAGGGGAAGGGTGGGAAGGATGGAAGAAAGGGGTTGGGAGAAGGAAGGGTTGTGAAGGGAGTAAGTTCCATCCACATGGAGAGGTACCAGATACTAACACTGAGAAAGGATGTCCTTACATGGTGACTGCATCCCCGACTTTGGTGATGGATGCAGGAATCAAACCCGTGAGAACATTGTTTGCGAGGTTGCTGGAAAGAACAGGGAAAGGGCGGGTTCAAAGGGAAGTTTGGGAAATGGGAGGGTGGGTGATACAAGGATGGAGTGATAGTGGAAATCATGTGGAGGGAATAATGGAGAAAGCATGTGGCATGGGCACCGTTTAGAGGGTTGAGATTGTTCAAGAGACAACGCAGATGAGGTGAACGGTTAATGCCAAGCCCTCATAGGTTCGTGATTGCAGCTCTCCAGTCGCGTGGAGCTGGCATGGGTCCGTGTGGAGTCGGTATGGATCCTGTAAAGCCACTACTTTCTAAATTCCTGTAGATGGGCATGCACATGACGACATGGATATATCCACATGCACGTGCACAGTCACATGCACGTGCACAGTCACATGCACATGCACGTGCACATGCACGTGCACAGTCACATGCACATGCATATGCATAGTCAGGTACACATGCACAGTCACACATGCACATGCAGGAATGAGTGAGTCAGGAGGCATGTGGAGACCATAGGGTGGAGAGGGGCGCGAAGGTATGCAAGGAGGGCGAGGAGATAGCAGACGGTCATGACTCGCCAAATTTATTGACACTCCAGCGAACCAGCCACGGGCTCAACGAGTCAGCCAGGCTCAACTCGTTGGAGGTGAAAACCCGAAACCAATGAGCCAAGCCAGCCCACCGCGCCGCCAGATCAGGCTCCTGCTCGCAATCGCACTGGCATGCATGCATGCATAGTATACTCTGCTTGCAACTCCCTCTCGCCAGTAAACCAGAGGCAGCAGTGATGCAAATGGCAGCAGTGCTGCTGCCAACGGTGTCGTTGCGGTAAGTTGGTTTAGGCATCGGCTTTGAGGTGTCAGGCAGTCCCCTCTCAGCAGCACGGGCGCTGCTGATGGAGCAGCGTGCATGCATGCACTTGCTGACAGTCAATGCTAGAGGCCTGACCTGTGAGGGCCTTTCTCATCTAAACTCCGCAACGCAGGATGAGGGCCAGTCGCCAAGGTAGAGCAGATTTCGGAGAATTTGACGGGATACGTCCAGGAACCTAGGGAAAGGGAGAACAAGGGAGTATGAATACAAGTGAGAGTGGTACTAGCTGGCTCACAGTGACTCGAGCAGTGGAAGCTCGACTAGGAATTGGGGAATGGAGTTGGAAAACAAGTTGCCGCTGAGATCACTGCGATGATGGAGATACATGCACAAGAGGCGAGGCAGAGAGGCAGAAGGAGAGAGGGATGGACATCCAGAAAGGGAGAAAGGGAGAGAAAGAACGGAAGGCAGAGGGAGAGACATAAATAAAAGTATATCGCATTCGAATGTTCGAGACCTCTCAAAACAGAACGCAAATGATGGACGATAGACAGCAAGGTGAGATGTTTGGAGAGTATGAGGCTGGGATAACCCAGGCCCTGCGGGGAATCGAAGGGGCAAGTGCAAGCAAGCAAGTGAGGAGGGGCTTCGAAACAGGGTGACGGGGGATTGAAGGAAGGTTGTTGGAGTGAGGCTAGCTGATTGTGGCAGGAGAGAAGACTGGATGCAGGGTGCTGCTGAGTCATATCCTGGACTTACAACAAGGCGTTGAAATGGCTCAACATAGGCCATGCAATGCAATGAAATTTCTGAATCAAGAAAGATTTACCTGACAGATAGTGGGGCATCATTACAGAAAGGGCGGAGCAGGCGCTACAGCCGGATCAGCCGGATCAGCCGGACTTACAGCGTTTTGAGGTTAGAAAATCTGGAGAGGAATGTGGGCGGGTTGTTGGTCAAACCGCTTTTTGACAGACCACTGCCAGCAGACGGACATGAGAATGTGAAGGGAAGGCAGAAAAGATCGTTTGAGAGTTGTTAGAGGAAATGGTTAGTGGAAGGATAGTGAGGAGAAGCAAGGGAAGGCGAGGATACCTGCCATGCTACTTAAAGATGTGTGCGTGTGGCCCAGTGATGTGCGGACTGATGACGCGTGTTCCAGTGGGGTTCAGTGCGGTGCAACGAAGTGGTGAGAGGTATTGTAGTGATAACAGTGCTCACAGGGAGGTGAGGGATGTGAGAGTTGATACTGGATTTATGAATGCTTCGAAAATGCTGTTGCCACCCAAGTAGCTGGTTGAAGGAGGGGGTTTAGGAAGGTATTGGTGGAAAGCTGCGTGTAGCAAGCATTACTGGACTGTGGAGAGATCATGTGACAAGCATAGCTTGCAGATATGAAACTAGCATTTTCTGCGAGCATGAGCATGGGGATGAGCATGCTTGAGCACGGGGTACAGAGCTGAGTGCATGCGCAGGAGTATGAGCGTCCACAACACATACAGTATGGAGAAGAACAGTGAAAGGAAAATGGGAAGAGGCAGGGAGAGGGGAAGGGAGAGAAGGAGATAGGAAGGAATAGAGGAGGAAACGCATGCAGAGAGAATGCTGCTGGTGACATGTGGCGGGTCATCACAATGAATTGAGACCATGTGTAGAACCGAATGTTCCAAGAGCCATGAGCGTTCTTCAGTGGGAGTGAAGTCAGAGAGGAGGGGAAGAGGAAGGAGTGAGGAGGAAAAAGGAAAATAAGAGAGGAAAGAGGAGGAGGCAAGCAAGCAGCGGCACGGCAGCACTCAAAGATGTTGAAGCCTCGTCAAGCTCGCCAAATCTGGTAGTGGCCCAGTTATACGATTGTTGCTAAGGTCCCTGCCATGCAAGAAGATACAATGCCATTCCATGCCATAACCATGCCATGCCATGCAATCCCATAATATACACACGATGTGACACAATGTGAAGCTATGAGTGTATGCGCACGAGGATGGGCATACAATGTGCACTCCATCGCACATTGGGCAGACGAGAACAGTATGGAAGAATCAGGATGAGGATGCATTGGGAGAGAGATGTATGGTGAGAGGGATGAATGGTGAGAGGGATGAATGGTGAGAGGAATGTTTTGCGAGAGGATTGTACGGTGAGAGGAATGTATAGTGAGAGGAATTATGGTGAGAGGGATTCATACTTCAATGTAATACAAAGGCACAGCATGCATGAGCCCTTGAATGAGGTCATTTACACACATGAACAACTCGGAGCCCCATACCATGTGATCCCATACTATGCACGTCAACCCACTTTAGAGACAGAGGTAAGTGTGGGGGGGGCGAGTGACGGGCTTACAGCAGCGTGAGGAGCGTAAGTTGAGTGAGTTCTGTAGGAATAACGCCTTGGATCCCACTTTCAGCCGCACGTCTGAAGCGAGAGACGAGTTAACCGGGAAAGAGTTGGAAGTGCATGAAAATGGACGTAAGAGGAGGGGACTTTCAATGGTGGAAGAGGGTGGAAGAGTCATTGCGGATTGGATAGAAGATGAATAGAGATGGAAATATCAGGGGAGAAATTCAAGTAATTGCTACTGGGAATTTCAATTTTGCTTTGAGATGCAAACGACAAGACGTAGTGCATCGTTGTTGTGGATTCTCAAGAAGAGAACACGGAAGCAGCTGCTGCATTCATGATGAGAGAGGAAGAAAATACAAGCACTGCACGATATTAAATCACGGTAAGCTTCTGCTGCAAGGGGGGGGTTGGTGGAGAAGGCGCTGATGATGCTGCTGGCGTGGGCGTGCAATGCAAGCTGAACACTGATACATCACTGAGTGCTTTGGGGAACTTACAGCGATCTCAAAAATAAAATATTTTTTACTGTTCCTGGAAGGGTTCCTGAGAAAGGGTTGTTGGAAATATCTCTAGGGGGAGGTGATGAGAGAGGCAAGAACATCCAAGGACGGGATAACGATGCAGGAATCTCAAATCATTTGAAAGGAACGGCTTAGAAAGGCACTGCTGCACGCACGGACAGCAACGAGGAGTGTGGTAGAGACAGATCAACCCCATGCATTAGGTAGCTAGAAACTTGAGCTGAGACTACTAGTATCGACCCCTCCAACATCTCCCTCCCCCCTCTGTCCTTCGCACTTCCAAGCATGAGCGGAGAACAAAAGAGCAGCTCAGCATGCAGTGAGAGTGGGGGTTTGAGTGAAGCAATCAGCATGCACAGCATGTAGAGACTGGTGAAGACGACAATTGACTGGCTTATGTCGCCTGTTAGCTGGTTGTTTGCCACTAATCTGAGGCGCACACGCAGTCATGGAGAAAACAGTGGAGATGGGAGGAGGATGGGGTTAGTGTTAGCCCTCTTTCTCAACTTGTGTACTTGTATTTCATAATCATAGCGTAGTGTAGTTTGCACTTTGTACACCCACATCCCAACCAAACCCAAATGTGATCACCTGCAATCTCCAACCCACCAATTGGAGATTTCAGCATTTCGCTTGGGATTGCCGCCGATTCCCTCCCCATCCATTCCTAGCTCATTTTTGATGTACTTACAGAACCTTGGGCTCATTACTAATGGATCAGTTCATGCATGGATAGAGGGACTCACACTGCCTGGAGGCCCGTCATTGCAGAGAGGGCGTTGGGAAGAGACCCAGAAAGGGAATTTCCATTGAGGTACCTCCATTGGCAGCACACACAGACAATGAGGGTCAACAAAGCAGAGCATGCATGCAGGGACCATGGATTCAGAGTGGAGCATGGATGGAGGCAAGTGATAGTGTGTTGTGGGGACGATGGTGGTGCAGTAGGGGGAGGCTTACATCTTGTGTAACTTTGTTAGGCTGGACAATGCCAAGGGAATGGTTCCTGAGAACTGGTTGTTGCAGAGATCTCTGGTGTCGACAGGGCCACAACATGGGTTGGGTCGGAAAGGGAGGAAAGGAGGGAGGGAGGGAAGAAAGGAGGAAGGAGGGGAGAGAGGGAAGGAGGGAGGAAGGGAGGAAGGGAGGGAGGAAGGGAGGAAGGAAGGGAAGAAGGGAGGAAGGAAGGGAGGTTGGGAGGGAGGAAGGGAGGGAGGGATGGAGGAAGGAAGGGAGGGAGGGAGGGAGAAAGGAAGGGAGGGAGGGAGGGAGGGAGTGGGAAGGTTGCCTTTGAGTCATCACACAGAAAAGGAGTCTCGATTGAGAGGAGATGAAGATGCACAGAGCCAGATTACTGGTTTGTTGGAGCCTGGGAAGGTGTGTGATGCTGAAAATGGGACGACAGGAGATTAATGCGAAAATGGGGAAAAGAGAAGGGGAGGTGAAGCAGGAAGGAGAGGTGTGGGGAGGGGAGGGAAGAAGATGGATGTGGACAAAAGTGAAGCCAGTTTTCGGAATAGAGGGGGATGTGCAGCGCCGAGCAATTTCATTTTCTTACTAGCATTTCCATAACGGCTTAGGGTAATACATGAGGTACCAACTTCGAGAAGTCTCAAAGTTAAACAGAAGGAGAGAACTGGCTGTTGAGACAGAGCAGGGGGCAGCATGCAATTACGAGATTTCAGGAAAATTGATAAGGTTATTTTAACAAGGTTGGAGGCAAGACACATAGATTAGCTGGCATTTGGGGAGCAGGGGTGGGAGAGAGGGGGAGGGGGGATGTGGAGAAGAGTGGATGGGTTGATGTGGGGCAGGCGCACAGGAGAGTGAGGCGGACAAGGCCGGTGAGCTGAGTGGGGATGGTCCCATGCAGAAGGTTGTTGCTCAGGTCACTGGAGGGAGAAAAAGAGTGAGGAGAGCCGTTTGAAAGATTCAAAAAAAGAGATTGGATGTTTGAGAAGATGGAATTTTGGGGAGGGATGAAATGAGATGGGACGATTGTTGGAGAGTGCAGGCAGCATCGAGACATCTCAAAACTCAATGTGGTAAGGATATGACAGACAAACACAATGGCAGGTAAATGGAGAAATGGTAAAAAAAATGGAAAAAGAGCCTCATTACAGCATTTCTGTAAGTGGTTGCCATGAGGAACTAAGAGGGGACTCGTGAGCAATAGGTAGGAAGTAGCAGCAGCAGTGGTTTAAAAAAACTATATTATATAAAATGGATACAAGGACTAGTGTCCGGAAAAGAACAACCTTCTCCCTCATCGAATCCTGGTTAGTGCACAATCAAGAGTGACGTACGCATGTCGTTGATTGGAAGGGGACATAGAGGAGATGGGATCATGGAGCTTTAAATACATGGGTGAGATATAAGGACGGTTAATAGTACATGACATGACCATAAGAGCAAGGAAAAAAAAGAAGGTGGTGAACTCTGGATGCCCAAGAAAGAGCTATGGAGGGTCTACATGAAACGTCCGGTTTAAATTAATGATTGGTGCGGAGGACTAGTGTAAGCACGAGGTGGAATGGACTGATTGGGTAGTGGAGCTTAGAACTCCTTAAGCACGACAAGAATGAGTGATAAAAGAAGTGAAGGATGTGAGGGATGTGATGTGATGGATGTGAGGGATGTGATGTGATGGATGTGAGGGATGTGATGTGAGGGATGTGATGTGATGGATGTGATGGATGCGAGGGATGCGAAGGAAATCAGGGACAGTCCTCAATGGGATTGCCTGAAATCTGCAGCATGTAATACAAAGGCACAGCATGCATGAGCCCTTGAATGAGGTCATTTACACACATGAACAACTCGGAGCCCCATACCATGTGATCCCATACTATGCACGTCAACCCACTTTAGAGACAAAGGTAAGTGTGGGGGGGGTGAGTGAGGGGCTTACAGCAGCGTGAGGAGCGTAAGTTGAGTGAGTTCTGTAGGAATAACGCCTTGGATCCCACTTTCAGCCGCACGTCTGAAGCGAGAGACGAGTTAACCGGGAAAGAGTTGGAAGTGCATGAAAATGGACGTAAGAGGAGGGGACTTTCAATGGTGGAAGAGGGTGGAAGAGTCATTGCGGATTGGATAGAAGATGAATAGAGATGGAAATATCAGGGGAGAAATTCAAGTAATTGCTACTGGGAATTTCAATTTTGCTTTGAGATGCAAACGACAAGACGTAGTGCATCGTTGTTGTGGATTCTCAAGAAGAGAACACGGAAGCAGCTGCTGCATTCATGATGAGAGAGGAAGAAAATACAAGCACTGCACGATATTAAATCACGGTAAGCTTCTGCTGCAAGGGGGGGGTTGGTGGAGAAGGCGCTGATGATGCTGCTGGCGTGGGCGTGCAATGCAAGCTGAACACTGATACATCACTGAGTGCTTTGGGGAACTTACAGCGATCTCAAAAATAAAATATTTTTTACTGTTCCTGGAAGGGTTCCTGAGAAAGGGTTGTTGGAAATATCTCTAGGGGGAGGTGATGAGAGAGGCAAGAACATCCAAGGACGGGATAACGATGCAGGAATCTCAAATCATTTGAAAGGAACGGCTTAGAAAGGCACTGCTGCACGCACGGACAGCAACGAGGAGTGTGGTAGAGACAGATCAACCCCATGCATTAGGTAGCTAGAAACTTGAGCTGAGACTACTAGTATCGACCCCTCCAACATCTCCCTCCCCCCTCTGTCCTTCGCACTTCCAAGCATGAGCGGAGAACAAAAGAGCAGCTCAGCATGCAGTGAGAGTGGGGGTTTGAGTGAAGCAATCAGCATGCACAGCATGTAGAGACTGGTGAAGACGACAATTGACTGGCTTATGTCGCCTGTTAGCTGGTTGTTTGCCACTAATCTGAGGCGCACACGCAGTCATGGAGAAAACAGTGGAGATGGGAGGAGGATGGGGTTAGTGTTAGCCCTCTTTCTCAACTTGTGTACTTGTATTTCATAATCATAGCGTAGTGTAGTTTGCACTTTGTACACCCACATCCCAACCAAACCCAAATGTGATCACCTGCAATCTCCAACCCACCAATTGGAGATTTCAGCATTTCGCTTGGGATTGCCGCCGATTCCCTCCCCATCCATTCCTAGCTCATTTTCGATGTACTTACAGAACCTTGGGCTCATTACTAATGGATCAGTTCACGCATGGATAGAGGGACTCACACTGCCTGGAGGCCCGTCATTGCAGAGAGGGCGTTGGGAAGAGACCCAGAAAGGGAATTTCCATTGAGGTACCTCCATTGGCAGCACACACAGACAATGAGGGTCAACAAAGCAGAGCATGCATGCAGGGACCATGGATTCAGAGTGGAGCATGGATGGAGGCAATTGATAGTGTGTTGTGGGGACGATGGTGGTGCAGTAGGGGGAGGCTTACATCCTGTGTAACTTTGTTAGGCTGGACAATGCCAAGGGAATGGTTCCTGAGAACTGGTTGTTGCAAGATCTCTGGTGTCGACAGGGCCACAACATGGGTTGGGTCGGAAAGGGAGGAAAGGAGGGAGGGAGGGAATAAAGGAGGAAGGAGGGGAGAGAGGGAAGGAGGGAGGAAGGGAGGAAGGGAGGGAGGAAGGGAGGAAGGAAGGGTAGAAGGGAGGAAGGAAGGGAGGTTGGGAGGGAGGAAGGGAGGGAGGGATGGAGGAAGGAAGGGAGGGAGGGAGGGAGAAAGGAAGGGAGGGAGGGAGGGAGGGAGTGGGAAGGTTGCCTTTGAGTCATCACACAGAAAAGGAGTCTCGATTGAGAGGAGATGAAGATGCACGGAGCCAGATTACTGGTTTGTTGGAGCCTGGGAAGGTGTGTGATGCTGAAAATGGGACGACAGGAGATGAATGGAAGATGACGTGGTGATGTGGGAATCTGCGTCGACTTGGGATTGAGATGTTGACTCAGGACTCCAATGTGGTTGCTAGAGTCATGCTGACTAGGGGGAAATCAACAGGGAGTGGGTGGGTAGCGGGTTTAGGTGCAAGGATGCAGATGGAGAGAGGTGGAGGGAGGGAGTTGTAATCATGAGAATGTGGGTACGTTGGTGCAGGTGGCATAATATGCGCTGCATTGCATGGCATGCCATAGCATGGCATGGCATGCACGGCAGCGCATGGCATGGCATGGCATGCACGGCAGCGCATGGTATGGCGTGGCATGGCGTGGCATGGCGTGGCATGGCATGGCATGGCATGGCGTGGCATGGCGTGGCATGGCATGGCATGGCATGGCGTGTCATAAGAACACAACAGGGTGCTTTAGTGTGGACACGAGCTTACAAAGTGTTGAGATTGGTGAGCGTGCTCAAGCCAAAAGGAATGGTGCCTGAGAGGCGGTTGTTGGCCACAGACCTGCATGGCAAGGCAGGCCAAGGGTTTTATGATTGATGCATTGGTCCCTCCTGCTCGTCCTCTCTGCTATACATGAACATGTTGCAAGTCAATTGTAACTCGAATTGTTTATGCTTAACTTCATCGATCTTCGGCTCTAGTCAATTTCTTTTTGGAGTTTACTGGGCTGACACACAGCACGACCAAATGGACTGTTATGTTCTATCTACAGGAGTTAAGTCAAACTGGACTACTGAGCTTCCTGTCCCCGCTCCCTGCCTTCTCTGCCTGTAAAGAGACTGTCCCACCACTTGCATGCAGCATCCGTGCTATTACCAAATCTGCGCAAATCTGGCATTAGAATGACAGATTAGCATGCCAAAATGCGAGTACAAACTTGGTGTGGTTGCTTATGGATACTTCCTACTTCGCCTCCATCGATTATGTATGCTCCCCTGCCTCTCGGCTCTGGAATGTTACAGAATACATAATTGAGTGACTTACATCTCCACCAACGTTGTCATTGCAGACAACGCATTGGGAAGTGACCCAGAAAGAGAATTCTGGTTGAGGTACCTGCATGGCAACACACCCGGGGGATTGCAGTGATTGAGGGTCAGCAAGCAGTGATTGCAGGGGAGGGAGCACCATGGATGGTGGAAAGTGATGGCGTGCAGTGGGGGCGATGGAGTGCAGTTGGGGGGGGTGTGAAAGATGTGAATTGAACAAGTTGTTTGATTAGAGAGCAAACCTAGCATACATAGTTTGGATGGGAAGGTTGGAAGGGAAGGATGAACCCAACCTATGGTTGGGTTGACCCCACATGGGAAGTGAGGCAACCATAGGTGGGGTGGGTTGGGTTGCCCACACTTCTAAGAAGTGTGGCAACCCTAGGCCCACTTGGCTTGTGGTGGCCTCAATTGTGAAGTGAGGTACCCAAAAGTCAAGAGGGTTGCAATTTGGGGGCTCCACCACAATTGGGTGGATTGGCACCCCAAAGTGCAAGACTACACCCAATGTTGGGTGTAGTCCCAACCCAACTGTACACCACAATTGGTGTACAGTCACATGTGCTTAGCATGCTACAATATATAATTCTAACACAATCCCTTAGCATGCTAACACAAGAAGAGAACAACCCCTGAATCAAGGGGCGCCCGGGCGAGCGAGGCCGATGAGGCGGAGGAAAGCGGAGTGCGCAGGGCGAAGGAGGGCCTTGGTGAAAATGTCGGCCAAGTTGGCCTCGGTCGCAATTTTGCAGACGGCAATAAGACCCTTCTAGACAAGCTCACGAATGAAGAAATAGCGGAGCTCGATGTGCTTGGAGCGGGCATGATAGACAGGGTCCTCAGTGAGATGGATGGTGCTGGCATTGTCGCACCAGAGAGTGGGGCACGTCTGGGGAGCGCCAAGCTCGGCAAGGAGGAAGCAGAGCCAGCGGGACTCCTGAGCGGCCATGGTGCCGGCGTAGAGCTCGGCCTCGCAGGTGGAGAGAGAGATGGCGGAGGAGCGGGTGGAGCGCCAGCTGATGAGGCCGCTGCCAAGGGTGAAGCCGTAGCCCTGGGAGGAGCGGCGGTCCGGCTGCGTGTCGGCCCAGGAGGAGTCGCTGAAGCCCGAGAGGAGAGGAGGGGAAGAACCGCCAAGGGTGAGGGCAAGGTCCTTGGTCCCTCGAAGGTAGCGGAGGACCCGCTTGGCCGCCTTCCAGTGCTCCTCACTGTGGCGGCCGGTGCCAGCGAAGCGAGCGAGCACGCTGATGGGATAGGCGAGGTCGGGGCGGGTGCACATCATCGCGTACATCAGGGACCCAACGAGCTCGGCATAGGGGTGAGGGGAGGAGGTGGGAGAGGTGGGTGGGGTGAGTTGGTGGCCGAAGGGGAGGGGGGTGGAGATGGGCTTGGCCTGCGCCATGTCGAACTTCTCCAAGACCTGGCCGATGTAGTGGGACTGGGAGAGGGTGATGGTGCGAGCAGAGCGGTCACAAGTGATGGCCATGCCCATGTAGTAGGAGAGGGCGCCAAGATCTTTGCACTTGAGACGCTGCTGCAGGGACTGCTTCATCTGCTCCATGTCGGCCTTCGTGTCAGAGAGCAGGATCATGTCATCCACGTACACCAGGATGAAGAAGCGGCGGGGAGAGGAGCGGATGAAGAGGCTGGCGTCGGAGTGGGAGGGAGAGAAGCCGAGTGACCCTAAGGTGGCAGCCAGCTTTGCATGCCACTCGCGCGGCGCCTGCTTCAAGCCGTAGACAGGGCGACGCAGTTGCCACACAGTGTTCTCAGGGAAGGCTGCGTGGAACCCGGGGGGCCGGCGAAGGAAAATGCGCTCATGCAGGTCGCCCTGCAGGAACGCATTGGAGACGTCCATGCAGTCGATCTCCATGTTATCACGCGCACCGATGTCGAGGGTTGCGCGAAGGGTGGGGGGTTTGGCGGTGGGGGCGTAAGTGAACCAGAAATCCTCCCCATGTGTCTGTGTAAAGCCCTTGGCGCAGTAGCGGGCCTTGTAGACCGGTTCCTCGTCCGGCAGTTGCTTCACCCGAAAGACCCACTTGCCCTCGACAAGATTGGCATCGTCAGGGAGGGGGACGTCGACGAAGGAGTCGTTGCGGATAAACGCCTCGCACTCCTGGAAGATTGCTGCTATCCACTTGTCCGCGTCAGGGCATGTGATGGCCTCTTGGAAGGTGGAGGGAGTGAAGATGGTGGGGGTGGAGGTGGCGCCGAGGACGGGGAAGCCAAGGAAGTCAAGAAAGAGGGTGGCTATGAACGGAGTGTGCTGCTGGATGGTGAGGAACTCCTCGTGAGAGTCCTCAAGGAGTTGCAGGGAAGGAGGAGGAGGGGTCCCAAGGATGGGATCCAGAGAATGGGTGTGCATGTGGGGAAGGAGAAAGGGGGAGGAGCGGGAGGTGGCGCGCTGTCGCTGCGGGTGATGGGGTTGCTGCCCCTGCTGAGGCCGCTGCTGCTGTTGCTGCTGCACCGGCTGCTGCTGCTGCTGCTGCTGCTGCTGCACCGGCTGCTGCTGCTGCTGCTGCTGCTGCACCGGCTGCTGCTGCTGCTGCTGCTGCTGCTGCACCGGCTGCTGCTGCTGCTGCTGCTGCTGCTGCACCGGCTGCTGCTGCTGCTGCTGCTGCTGCTGCACCGGCTGCTGCTGCTGCCATCCTGGCTGCTGCTGCTGCTGCCATCCCGGCTGCTGCTGCTGCTGCTGCTGCACCGGCTGCTGCTGCTGCTGGTCCGGCTGCTGCTGCTGCTGCGGAAGGGCGGAAGAGTGATGGGAGGAGGGAGGGGAGGGAGGGGGTGCAGCTGAGTGGGCGGGGGAGGCGGGTGCAGCGGGGTCGTAGACGTCGGCAGAGGAGGGAGGCGGGGGGAGTGGGGCGGCGACAGGTGGGAGGAGGGGAGCGGGGGGGAGGAGAGGCGGGAGGACGGTATCGGTCCAGGCGAGGGGGCGAGTAGGAGGAGGGAGAGGATCAGGGGGAGGAGTGGAGTAATAGGGGACGGACTCGTCGAAGACGACGTCGCTGCTGCGGATGAGGCGATTGGTGGGAGGGTGGAGGAAGAGGTAGCCTGGGGAGTCGCGGTTGTGCCCAAGGTAAACACATTCCAGGGCACGAGGAGCAAGTTTGCCAGCGGCGCGGGAGCGATCGGCGGGTGGAATGAGAACGTAGGCCTTGCAGCCCCAGACTCGAAGGCCGGCAGCGTCAGGTTTGGTGTTGGACCAAAGCTCTGTGGGGGAGGAGGAAGGGTGCTGAGGGTGGGAGTGGAGATTAAGGAGAAGGGCGGCGTGGAGGAGGGCATAGCTTCAGAGGGAAGGCGGGGTGGAGGCATGAGCAATGAGACAGCGAGCTATCTTGGTTATTTCACGAATGCGGCTCTCGGCAATGCCGTTCTGCTGAGGGGAGTGGGGAAGAGTGGAGGTCTGTTGGATGCCGTAGGTTTTGCAGTATGTGGCGAGAGTGTTATTGATGAACTCACCCCCACCGTCAGAGTGAAGGCGGCAGATGGGGCGTTTGAAGTGATTGCGGCACAGCTCGGCCCAGTTGATGACCACTGCCGGCACCTGGTCTTTCGTGTGAAGAAAGAAGGTGGTGGAGTACCGGCTGTGGTCGTCAACGAGGACGAGCATGTACCGGTGCCCCTGGCGGGAGCGGATGGGATAGGGGCCCCAGAGGTCCATGTGGACAAGGTCGATGGGGGCAGCGGCGAAGGTGAGATGACTGTGGTGGGGAGACTGTTTGAGCTTGCCGTGAATGCAGGAAGGGTTTGGGGGAGAGGGGAGGAGGGAAGGGGGGGTAAGACGGGAGGAAGGCTGCGGAGGAGGCGGGAGGTGACTGAAGTGCGAAGTGCGGTGAAGTTGGGATGGCCGAGTCTGTGGTGTAAGAGAACGGCAGGGTGCGAGAGGGTATTGGAGGAGGAGGGAGAAGGCGTGATGGAGGGGACGGGAGGGGAGGAGGAGGATGGCGGGGAGGGAGGGGAGGATACCTGAGGGGGAGGGGAGGGGGGAAGTAAAGAAGGGGGAGGTGGACCGGTGGAAGTACCAGCACGGGTGGTGACGTGGCAGAAGGATGGGCGAGGTGTGCGGAGTGTGTAGAGGCGAGTGCGAGGGCAGAGTGGAATGCGGAGGAGGAAGCGGCCAGAGGAAGTTTGGTATGTCAACGGGAGTTGGGTGTTGGCCCCGTCCTCGCTTGGGCGGAGCCGACTTCCTGGTCGGGTGTAGGGGTGCAGCCGACCTGCAGTAGTGGGCGAGCCGGTCGACGGGGTTGGTCGACCTGCACGGGAGCCACTGCAAGGGCGCCGACTTCGGGAGGGCGCCAACTTCGAGTGGTCGACTTGAGAAGTCGACCTGCAGAGGGCGTCGACTTGGGGACGCCGACCTGGGGTAGCCGACTTGGGTGGTCGGCCAACAGGAGTGCTGGTCGACCTGGAGGTGGTCGACCAGAGGTCGTGGTCGACCTGGTGAGGTCGACTGGAGGTGGCCGTCGACTTGGGAGGTCGACAGGCACGCACAGGAGCACCTGGTCGACGTGGTTGCCCGGTCGACCAGGTTACCTGGGTGACGAGGGTCTGCGAAGGCACGCGAAGGTCGCCCAGGCGAGGTTGGCAAGGACGACCTCGGTGGTGGTATCCCGAGGTCGACCTGGCAGATGAGATGCGGTCGTCAGCACAAGGTGGACTTGGTGCGTACGCTGTGCAGGTGACGAAGCAGTGCGCGCCAATCATCTACGAGCACCTGCGAAGCTGGTGCGATGCTGGACTGCAGGAGCAACGCTGGCACGCCGTCGACTTGCGCTGTTGTCACGCCGTCGACCTGCAGCGTTGGCAAGCCGCGTCCCTGCACTGCTGGAGCGCGATCGACCAAGTCGTGCTGGCACGCGGTCGACCGTGCCGCGCTGGCAGTCGACCTGCTTGCATCCTAGCTCTGATGTAGTCTTTCCTAGCCAACTTCATTGCATTATTGTTGTACTTTCTCTAATGAAACTCTTGCCAAATTGCCTTGTGAACTAGCAAGCAGTGTGTGCACTAGGAAAACGACTAAGGACCAACGAACGCAGAGATCACACGAGCATCCGTGCCTAGCCCGTAGTCTAG